TTGTTACTACTAGTAAGGCACCTGTTACTACTAGCGTGGCACTTGTTACTACTAGCCTTATTAGTGCTGCACTGACTCGTTCCGACGCGGTCGCTTCCGCTTCCAAAACGAATGCCTCGCCGAAGCGGTGTTTCGCTGCAAAGGGCTCAACGAGCGACGTTCGCTACTCAAGCAATGCCGAGCAATGACTGGGCTTCCTTCCCCACAGGATGGACGAACGCGAGTTGGTGATCTGTGTTTATGTCAATTCTGTGTTTTATGTCTTTTTATGCGTTGACTTTTCGAAGTGAAAAGTCTTGTGCAAACCGTTAGAATCTATAGAACTTAGAACTAGCATGTTTTAGAGCTCCTATCTGCGGAAACCTGACAGCATGCCTTGTAGAGTCTTGCATCATGGTCCCCATCGTTGTGTTTTTGGGAGGTGGAATCAAGTGTGTATCGGGGCACGCAAACCATGCGGGTGGAATCGACGTCACTTGGAACAAATAGACTGCAAAGGAAAGGCAATCTGTCCAAGACTCTCAAGAGCAGTGCCAGGCAGAAATGACCCCTTTTTGCGCCACATAATCGATGGAACGAAATGTCTCCTGTTTACAGCAGCGACAGGCTGCAATTCGGCCGCAAATCATGAACTTGCACATCGGGGATCATCCGAGGTCGCCAAGATCGTTAGACAAAGTCCACTCATCTAACCAGCCACATCTTCACGTCACCTTTTTGCATCGACAACTAAAGATCTGCAAAGATATCGATATGGACTCCGGACGCCGGGTCTTTTAATGTACTGTAGCGTTGCTTCCAGAAGGCATCAAAGGGCTCTTTCTCCACCACAGCCCCGGTGGCCTTGACTTTCAGGAAAAGTTCGTCCACTTTGGGAGGCGACTCACACTTGAAAGTCAGGTGAACTGTGCAGGAGTCGGCTGAGAACCTGCAATCAATCATCTACATCTTGAAATGGCACCAGACCGACTGACATGAGTGTTCTTCGTTGTTGATATATAATTGTATATGTTTTTTGACAAATTTATTGTTGTAATCTTACATTTTAAAGAACGCCGCCAAATTGGATTAAACAGTCAAAAAAATGTAATCTTGCGAGACAGGCACTGGAAATCGGGATTGCTCTTCTTCATGACATCCACAGTATCAACCATCAGTGTTGTGCCTCCCTCTATTTTTGCCTCGCTGTGCTGACCTTGCTCGCCTTCCCCGAAGTGCGTAAAGCTGAGACCCAGCCCCTCGAAGATCTTGAGCGTCAAAGCCTTCTCCGCTGAGACAATGCCAACACCATGTAGGGCCATGCCGAGACAGTGAACCAGGGAAGACACAAACTTGGGCACACTACAGGGTACACTTTGAAGCCAACAGCCACACCATCTCAACTAAAATTGCCTTCAATGATAAACAAAGCATGCTACTAGGGTGGAGGCCATCGCTATTAGGGTGGAGGCCATTACTACTAGTAACAAGAAGCTACTAGGTTGGAGGCATGCAGGCTCTTTCTCGAAAGAGCTCACTCATACCATATCGTCGCTTGACACTTTTGGGTCAATCGTGAGCCAAGTTGCTCTGGCAAAAGCCGTATTGGACCAGGTTCAGCTTGATTGACCTATTCGGTGGATCGATCTGCTGAAGTTTCTCATCTCTTCTCTTTCATCAATTTGGTCTGCGTTCGGAATGCGCCTTATCCTCCGTCTGTCCACTTCCTTCCTCAGACCTAGCAAGTCTTTTCGCATTCTCCAGTAGCATACCTGCCCAAACGGAAGGCCCATGGTCAGGTTTCGCCGATATACTGCTAACTCCAACACAAATATGATGTCTTCAACTACCACGCGATCAAATCTCTCAAAGCAAAGTCCAAGTGGCAGAACATTCAAAAAAACAATCAAACAAGGGGTTCTTTGGGATGCCACCTTTGTATGGTGGATATGCTTATAGAAAAAACTAAACTACCTGGCCGATCCTGATCGCCCTGGTTGCCCTGGCACTGGCACCTCCCAGCTCTGGAGCCAGTGGTGCCCGCACTGCTGCCACTGCAGGGCGCAGCACAATGCCGTCACCAGCCTGGCAGCATTAGTCTGAGGTAAGGGTCTCCAACCTACTAGCGATAACCTACTAGCGAGCCTCCAACCTGGTAGCGATGGCCTCCAACCTACTAGCGGTGGCCTCCAACCTAAAAACAATTGCCTCCAGCCTACCAGCGATAACCTACTAGCGAGCCTCCAACCTGGTAGCGATGGCCTCCAACCTACTAGCAATGGCCTCCAACCTACTAGCGATGACATCAAACCTACTAGCGAGCCTCCAACCTGGTAGCGATGGCCTCCAACCTACTAGCAATGGCCTCCAACCTACTAGCGATGGCCTCCAACCTAATAGCGATCGCCTCCAACCTAGTAGCGATGGCCTCCAACCTACTAGCGATAACCTACTATGCCTCCAACCTGGTAGCGCTGGCCTCCAACCTAATAGCGATGACATCAAACCTACTAGCGAGCCTCCAGCCTATTAGCGATGGCCTCCAACCTAGCGCTGGCCTCCAACCCAATAGGGATGACCTCCAACCAGCCTCTAACCTAGTAACGATGGCCTCCAACCTAACCTAAATAGATAGCCTCCAGCCTACTGGCCTCCAACCTAAAAGCGACGGCCTCCAACCTAATAGCCAAAGCCTCTAATTTATTAGCGATGGCCTTCAACCTACTAGCGATGGTCTCCAACTAGCGATGGTCTCCAACCTACTAGCGATAGTCTCCAACCTACTAGCGATGGCCTCCATAGCGATGGCCTCCATGGCGATGGTCTCCAACCTACTAGCGATGGCCTCCAACCTAATAGCGATGGCCTCCAACCTACTAGCGATGG